AAATTATAATTGATTGGTTATTAAATAAAAAAATTTAAAGTGAATTTTATTAAAAATTCATAAACTTTATGCAATCTGAAAATCTTCAATTTTACTATATATTACTAAGTAAAATTTATAAAATCTGGTAATTTATTATAGTGTAGTGTATATATCTGCGTGTTAATTTTTTTTTGCATATTAATTTATTTTTTGAATATCATTTTTGTGTGTTACCATGTCAATTTTTCACTGCATATTATCAATTTATTTCTAAAAACGTGAATTTTTGCATCTAAATAAGATCTTTTTGCAAAATGTAATATTTTTTCTGAAATACTAATTTTGTCAATATTCCTAATACCTTGATACTATCTGAACAGGAATCAAGTGAAACCACTGAATTACATCAAAAGAGATTAGCTAGAGAAAGGCAGGCCAGTTTGAGAAAAAGAAAAAATATCAATGATAAAAATTGTCTACCTGAAACTCAATTGCTAACTAGACAAGAAGAAAGTGAATCACCTAAAATATGTCAAAAAAGGTTAGCTAAAGAAAGGCAGGCCAATTTGAAAAAAAAATGAAAAAATCATTTAAGAAGAAGACAGAATGCTATAACTGGTGAAAGAAAAACAGATGAATTAAAACGTATAAATAATAGGATAACATATCATGAATTAGGCTGAATAGATCAAATCTGTATCCATTGTAGTACTAAATTTTGGGTGGATGAAAAGAACTAGAATAGCTCTCTTACATCTTCTACATTTTTGATTGCTATGCGTATGATAAAATTTATTTATCACGTTTGATTGAGCCGCCTCCTTATTTAGTAAATCTGTATATTTCATCTGATTCTGATGTGATTTCTTTTTACAAAAACATTAGGCGTTATAATAATATTCTAACATATACATCACTTGGTACAACTATAGATACAATCTTAGATTAAGGCATTTCTGATTTCTGTATTCATAGCCAAATTTATCATCATATTAGTTTATTATTATTAGAAGAAGGTCTTCAGTTAGCGTTTACATTTATGACACTGTGCATGAGAATGCATATCATCATAATGTTATGCCAAACTTAGATGATGCCATTCTACATAATCTGCTAATCATGTTGAATGAATGCAATCCTTATATTCAAAACTTTCATTACGTAAGAGATCTTATTCAAACAAATATGTCTGATAAAATTTTTATGGTCATTTATACTGATCAAATACAAGATCCTATTGCTATAATACTCTTTTTACTTCTAAAGTTGCTGCAATCATAGTTAGTAATGATCATAAGCTACATATAGCAAATCATGATATTATTCTTAGGATACACAATAGAGTTCTACAAAGAATATTAGAAATTTATCTATCTTATGATCCCTTCATTATGTGTTGCTATTTCTACAAGGTGATGATAGATAGCATGTAGATATACCTTTTGTAGGTTTTGAAAAAAGAAAAAGAGTGTCAATAATATGATTCTATTCTTACAAGCTACAGATTAGAGATGGAAATTGGATTCACAATATAGGCTATTTGTACCAACAGTATATTATTAATCAATATACCAAGATAGAACAGAATCATTTGAATTATCTTAAACTGAATTAAACCTCTTTACATACTAATTTATATTGTGGTATTTCAGATGCATTATATACTATAAACAAAAATGATGATAGTCATTATATAATTCTTTCATCTTCATTTATTAGTGATTTGCGTCAAATATATCAGCTATACCAGAATGTAATGGTCATTGTGAGTTGTTTTGACAAGCCCAACCTCTTTGTAATATTCACCTGTAATTTAAAATGACCTGAAATTACCAGGGAATTAGGATTTCATTAAAGTGTTGATGATCATTCTGACTTGAATGCTTGTATGTTTCATATGAAATTGCAGAAGTTTTTGAAAGATCTATTGCACAATAATTGTCTTGGTAAATTATAGCATATATATATTATAGAATTTCAAAAATATGGTCTACCACATGCTTACTTCTTACTTATATTAGACCTAGAAAGTAAGTTGCGAATAATAGAAAATTATGACTTCATTTCATTTCATTTTCCTAATTTCATTTTATAGTTTCTTTTCGTTTGTTTAATTTTGTTTTTTTCATTTCGTTTCGTTTTCCTAATTTCGTTTTATAATTTCTTTTCATTTATTTAATTTTGTTTTTTCATCTTGTCTCGTTCACTTAATTTCATTTTATAGTTTTGTTTCAGTTTCTTAATTTCATTTTTTCGTCTCATTTAATTTTTCTTCGTTTCGTTTTATTTTTTATTTTATTTTATTTTATTTTATTTTTTATTTTATTTTTATTTAAATAAATTAATAAAACTGTCATTCAACGATTAATAATATTTGTGTAATAAAATTAGTAATCATCTACTATAACGAATAATTCGTTATAGTGTTAACGAAGATTCTTATAACAAAGTCCTGATCGGCTGGATCAGCAACTTCATTATATCGAGATGTGACTGTATAATGATTCAGGTCAAAGTAAATCAATTTGGAAGGTATTAAATTGGTTCTGAAATCTTCAGATCATCAATGTCTTTGTAACATGTAAAAAATTCGTACATTTTGGCCAAATTTATTACAAATGATAGTACAGTCGATTATTATCCTGGCCAAGTCCAATATTATTTTACACATAAGGTCGATTTGCCATCCAAAAAGGCTGAACATTTTCTAGCATTTGTTCATTGGTATAAACCTGTAAGTTCTCTAATTATTTTAGTAAAGAAGAAACATGTAATATCGAATTATGGGATACTGAATTTTATTCAGAAAGTCATAATTGTATAATACAAATTCATCATATTTTAGGTCAATTTGTACCAATTAACTATCGAATTTCAGCCTGGCGAAATGCAAAAGAATATTTGACTGTTTATCTAATTAATAGAAAATACCATTTGTAAAAATAAATTGAATGTTTTTAGCATTATTTGGCTATTAATCCTAAATATCAGTTATATTTCCTTCTGAATTTTATTTTATTTTGAAATATTTTAGCCAATTTTTGATATATAACAATCGGATATAAATCAGATATCAATCGGTTATAAATAAGATGGGTCAAATTTTAGCCGATTTTTGATGTATGCCAATCAGCAATAAGTATACTAATCAGCTATAAATAAGATAGGTCGAATTTTAGCCGATTTTTGATGTATATCAATCAGATGTAAATTGGATTTCAATAAGCTATAAATAAGATGGATCAAATTAGCCAATTTTTGACGTATGCCAATTGGCTATAAATAAGATAGGTTAAATTTCAGCTGATTTTTGACTGATTTCTAGTATATGCTAATCAATTAGGCTGATTTTTGATAATTTGCCAAAATTAGACTGAATTTAGGCCAATTTTTCGCATGTCTGATTTTTTTGATTTCGATAAGTGCATGACTGTATTGATTAATTCTTAGTAAAACAACAATTTGCCAGCTTGAACCTCTAGTATTTTATTGTTTACTAGATATTAATTCAGCTATTAATATAAATTCTGAATTGTATGCTTTTTTATAATACTGAATAAGTTGATCATAAATATCATATGGTAGATTCACTCTGATTTTTGCTTGCTTAAGCATCTTGCCAGAAAATTTTCACTCCTGTAATATTCTCATCAATTTCAAGATTATAAATCTATATAAACCTATATAGTTCATTAAATTTAAAATCATCATATACAGCTAGACTACCAACAGTTGGCTAGGGTTGTATTAACTTTAATCCCTTCTTAAGCTTTATATTATCTAATTAGGCAGATAATAGATTATCCAAATGCCAGTTTTGCATAATTATACACAAAAGCTTTAGCTTGATTTAATGATTAGAGTTGGGATACAATCCTAAAAAATAAATAAACAAATATTAAAATAAATGTTAGTTTACAATTAATAAATTATTTCATTGTTTATTAGCAATAATTAATAATTTAATAATAATTGAATTAATAGCTTACCTAATATTCTATTCATTCTTTCAAATGAATAACACTAGAATAAGCATAACAGACTATAGTTACAGTAACAATTAGCAAAATAAAGTGATAAGTAAATATTTAGAGTAATTGCGTCTGATCTATAATTTTCTTCGATCAAATATGCAATAAATAGCAATCAAGAGTGTACTTTATTTAATGCATTATCATTAATAATACATGATATGAACAAAAAGTATGCTTTGACAAAATTTGCCAAAATAATTTGATCAGATTCTATAATATATGGAGTAGCATAAATCATAATAAAGGATTTCCATTGATTTATCATGAAGCTGAAAATCCTTCGCCTGTTGCTAATTTGTATAGTATTTTACCAAGATCGGCTAGTAATCTAATGTTTTTTGCCTGTTTTTCCATAAACTCCAAGTTGGATTTATTGATTTTACTACTATTAATTTACAATTTTTTGACAATCCACTGAAAAATTCTCAAAAACAAATAGTGCATAGGATCAACTATCAAAAATCTGATGAGATCAAAATATGGTAATCTAAGTATTTTTAACTATCTAACATGAGTAATTGAAACATGATACTTCCTTTTATCATTAATTTTACATTGCAATCATACTTTAGTATTTTACCGATGATTGATAAGGTTCTGATTTTTAAATCATTCATTCATATTGTTAAATCTATCAAAATTTGCTCTATTACTATTATCACCACTTGCTCGTTTGTAACATCTATAACAACTGACTAATGCAGAAATATGACCACATAACTTTCTTGCAGCTGGAATATCATTGAAGCAACAAATAACTGCTACACAAATTTTTTTCCAGTTGTATAAATGGATGATACTGGTAAATCAAATCTATTACACATTTCTAATAATACATCGATGATAAGTTTAAGATAATTATTGATTCAGTGCAATTTTAGTTTATTGGATCCTAATAATAAACCTAACGTAAGCATATTCTCCTTTTTAAATCTAACATCTTGGTGAAGATAACATATTACAGTAGTGGTCATAAGTATCCGACCGCCTCTAACTCCGGCTACAAGTAAATAAATTCAAAATTTTTTTTTTTATTTAAAAAATACATAACCAACTAACTAAAATTAATACATTGTGTAGTCACTATC